GCTCGCGCAGGACTCGGGGGGTCGGGCCGAGGGAGGCCGCGTCAAGCAGGTGCGGCCGCAACAGCGACGGGCCGCAGGCCGACTCCCTTCTTGGCGGCGCCGACCTCAAGCGGGGGCTCTTTGTGAGGTTGGCGAAGGCTGGCGCCAGGCAGGGGTCGTGACGCGCTGGTCTTCGGGCTGGTGACGGCGGTGGCGCCAGCCGGGGGTGTCCGCTTGCCCCCGGGACTCCCCCGCCGACCTGGGCCCACCGCCCGCTTCCTTTCCTGGGAAAGCGGACTGGCCCGCGGTGCAAAGGAGAGGCTATGGCAGAGCGAGACCTCTGGCTCTGCTTTAAGTAACAGAGAGGACATGTCTTTTACAACTACGGTGTCCTGCTGCCGGCGGGGTCTTGTGCTTCCCTAACACGTCATGGTACCGAGGTGAGGGCTTGTCTGCAGGGTCAGCCTGCCTAGTCTGGCTAACAGAAAGAGGGTAGTCGCTCGCTCGCTCGCTCTCTTGTAATTAAAACAGCTAAATATAAAGAGTAGTGTTACCTTTAAAAATATTTAATCATTTAGGAAGGGACTTCAACAAACAGAAATGACTGTGCCTGATTTGGTGCCGTTCCCACTCCCACACCTTTGCTACCAGCCTTGCTCATTTTATCCTAGCTCTAGCCTCAGGGTAGCTAGAATTAAGACTTTCCCCTGTTCTGGGTCATGTGGAGAATTTTATGTTTTCTTTTGCTACAAAGTAAACCATCAAGGATACTTTAATTATGATCCCACTTATCTTCTGTGACGAGCTTATCCTCTCGTGAGCGTCTTTTTGAGGTGGCAAGCACTCCCACAGCCTTTCAGTGCTGGACCTGTGCCCACAGGGCTTCCAGCTTTTTTGGCTTCCAAGATTCCCATTAGCTACAAGCCATTACTTACTACAACATTTTATTCACCCGAGGCCTTGTGCTGGACCCAGCCCAGCTTAAATTGGGCTCAGTTTGATCCAGGACCCATCCAGTTTTTAAGCTGGACCCAGTAACCACCAGCAGTTCCCACTGTGGAATCTGGGCAGAGTGGGGAGAGGATGTGGGTAGGGATTCCAACCAAATGGGCAACTGTGGAAATCCAGTGAGAGCAGGAGGAGCTCAGCACAAAGAGAGCCGAGCTCAGAGCTGAGAGGAGCTCACCCAGGGCCCCCGGAAACAGGGACAGAGAGAACTCGAAGTGCTTGCAGGGTACCAGGCCTGTGTTTCTCCCCATCCCTGAAGCTGCCAGAGATCGCTTCATATTCCATCACTGCTGCTAAATCTGTTAGATCACAAAAACTCAACTGAATAAATTTAAAGATCAAATTGGCTATTTAGTGATGCATGAGTCAGGCAGCATCCCCGTCTAGCAGTAGAAAGGAGCTTTGCTGAGCTGCAGGAAAGGAAAGGCTTTTAATGCTGGAAAGGGTGTGAGAACGACATTGTTAGACAATGTGTTGTTTTAGGCAAGGTCGCCTTCCTCAGGGAATGGAAGGGGTCTGTGGGCCAGACTGTCACACTGGTGCTAACCAGCTAATTACAAACTGAGTGTAAAAAGTTACATTCCTGGGGATTGAGACTGCAGTTAGATTAGATACTAAGTTTTGGTCCTGCTGACATGGGGTTTAGCACAGTGACTGCATTTTGGTCTTGCTGTCTTTAACACTTCAGATATGTATTGAATACTTACCACGTATTCTCACTAGGATACACTAATGAGAAAATAGACACATTTTTTCCTTTCCCAGAGCTAGGCATTAATCAGTTATATACTTTTATGTGTGTGTGTGTGTGTGTGTCTATATACACTTGACCTTTGCACAACATGAGGGTTTGGTGTGCCCCGGTCCCCCATACAGTGGAAAATCTGTGTATAACGTTTGACTCCCTGAAACCTTAACTACTGATAGCTTACTGTTGAGGAGAAGCCTTACCCATAACATAAACCAGTTGACTGACACATATTTTGTGTGTTATGTGTACCGTGTACTGTATTCTTACAATAAGATCAGTTAGAGAAATGATAAAGAAAATATATTTACAGCACTGTACTGTATTGGTTGAAAAAATATGTGTGTAAGTGGACCTGCACAATTCACACCTGTGTTGTCGAGGGATGAGCAAATTCAAGGAATGAGCTGGGTCACAGGAGGACAATGAATATGGGGCCAGGCACATGGGATGGGGATGTGGTGTAGGGTGAGCTCCAACAGCTGGGCTGGGCCACGAGTTTGGTCTTTGTCTTCAGAAAGATGGGCAGCTGTTGGCAGCATCTAAGCAGGACATTGCATTCATACCTTGTAGTTCAGTCATTCCTTGATTGTGGGTCCAGAAGGAGCTCTTTAGGGAACTAAATTCCCCTCAGGCTGCTTAGGGACAAGTAACAAGGACTGGCCTGGGAACAGGTGCGTCTCAGAGAGAACAATTCCTGTAACCCAGCGGCCAGCGCCCTATGGGGTAATGGAGCCCAGACAGTGAAGGTGGTACCCCATGTGCAGTGCATATGGCATGAAAATGCCCAGCTACAAACCTGTGAAACCACCCGGGTTGGGAATTGGTCTTGAGTAAATGCAGGTGATCACCCCACAGGTCTGAGAGCACGTGGTGTCAGCACCCCAGAGCCCTGTGGACCTCTAGTCATCACTCCCTGCCTCCTTCCCAAAGGTGTTTGAGTCCAGCTCTGCTCGCTGGTAGACCAATACTGAGCACACACTATTGTATGTATCCTGTTATGAATATACCCCTCTTTCCCCAGGCTGCTGTACGTGGACAGTTGGGCTGTTTCCAATTTTAGAATCACGAATAGTGCTGCTTTGAGCATTCTGATAAATGTTCTGTGTTACGTGTTTCTTGGTTCATGTGTTCATGGTTCGGTGTGTGCTCAGCAGAGAATTCCCTCTAGGTCTGTTTTTCTGAGTGGTTGCTCCAACTTACATTACTCCTCCCATAGGTTTTGGAAGCTCATCCATACTCAGTGTTCTTTTCTTAGTGTTTTTGATTTTAACCATTCTGATGGGTGTATGGGTTTCACTTTTCATTTCAGTTTGCAATTCTCTGGTAAATAATGAGGATAAGCATCTTCTCCAGTTAATTGGCCATTTGGAGATCTTTCATGAAGTGCCTTTTGCATATTTTTCTGTTGGTTTGTCTGTCTTAAGATTTGTATGAATTCTTTGTACATTCTGGATGTGTTTGTTGGCTTTATGTGTTGCTCATCTTTCCTGCTTTGTGGCTTGCATTTTCACTCACTAAATGGTGTCTTTTGAAGAATATAAGTTTTGTATTTGTGGATATTTTTAATGATATTGTGGATGTATTTTATTAAAGTTTCTGTCCTCAAACATCTAAATGCTAGTATATACTTAGACAAACATGGATTTTTTTTTTTTTCGTGGTATCTATTCCTTTTCTGGCAATAATACTTTGATTTCCTTGGGTGGCCACTCTTTTCCCTCTCCTGGCCAGGCCTCAGGGGTCACAGTTCCATGACACATGGGGCTCACTTGTCAACACAGTTTTATCCTTTTGATGACATGGTAAGTTCAAGGATGAGAAGTGGCCCAAACTGGCCCAAACTCATAGAGAATGTTCAGGGTTTGATAGGAAGAGGTGGTCACTCTTCCCAGTGCACCAGAGCATGAGAGAGTGGTGGTGGGAGCTGCTGGCCAGCAAATGGCAACAGAAAGGAGAAACCAGAGCCAAGATCCAGACAGTCACAGCTGAAAGATGGAGAGACCAGGCCTGGTTGGCTCAGGCTGCTGCATGAAGCCCTGCACACACCTTCCAGTTAAAGGCCTGCCCCTCCAGAGACACCCCTTTCTTTAAGGCCCATCAGGCTGAGCTTTCTCTCATTGAAAGAAAGGCTGAAAAGGCTCTTACTGATCTGCAGAGTAAATTGTCATAATGTCTACACTGTTCCACTGAATGTAAGGACTGTCATTGCATTTTATATTCTAATCAGTGCATTTTGGACATCCTTGAAGAAATGCATTTTGGGAAATGTACAATGATTTGCTTGTTTTAAGTTTATAGGATGAAAATTTATGTATCAAAGAATATGTACTTTTTAAAGTATTTTGATATACGTTACCAAATAGTCAAAGCTTATGCTTTGGGAAATAATACCAAAAACAATTAAATTTCAGATGCCTTACAGGTTATAAAGTACTATTAACAATTTAAAAACAAAAACCAGAGAAAAATCTGCAAAAATAGCGGAAAGAACTAACATCCTCAATATTTAGGTTATCTAGTTGTCCCTGATCAATTAGAACAATGTGTTTCACATAGCTGAAGGTCATATTCCTTCCTCCTCTACCCCAGTTATGCTTCAGTTCTGTCCAGGGATTCCTGTGTCGGCAGGGATTTCCAGCAGCCTGTGGGTGGAAGTCATTTGGGATGCCCTGCAGCTGAAAGCTCTAAGGGTAACTTACCTGTCCCCAGGTAACGGCCAGCAGGACAGCACACGTTTCCTGCAGGGGGTTAGATGTCCTCTGTCTGCGGGCAGCTCTGGGCGCGGTCAGCAGCACTTGCCAAGCCATTTCGAGCAGCAGTGAGTGGCTGAGCAGGCGGCTCATGCAAAGCTGTTTAATTGTGAAGCCACTGGCCCCACACAGGTTCCCTGCACTGCTGCTGCTTTCTTAGGTGGGTGGAGCTGTGAAGACACCTGTGGCCCCTCTCTGAGTATGCGGTGGCAGAGGTGCCCATTGCTGCCAGATTGAAATGTGCATTTTCCTAAATAGCTTTGTTCAGCAACCTTCAATAGCCCTCCAGTTATGAACTGAGCTTAAGTGGAAGCCCTTCTGTTTGGTCCGTTGCTGAGCACTGCAGGCTGTCCCCACTGGAGGACTTTTCTCCCTCTTCTAACCTCATCCCATCTCTGCTGGTCAGTGTCACCTGGTCTCCTTCTGTCTGACCACCCCTTTCCCTCTGAAGCCAGCATGTGAACATGGTTGGGTCATCTGAGTCCACTCGACCAGCATGGTGACCAGATAGTTAAACCCTTTGCTCATGACTGTGTCAGCAAATTCTGTGGATGAGCTTTTCAGGTGTAAGTGCCTGGAGTGAGGCGTGAGGCAGAGCAGAATCAGGATGACTTGAGGGCTACATGTATAGAAAGAGATAACATGGGTGAGGTCATTAACTGTGAAGTGGGACAGAAGTCTGAAGCAGTTGTTATTTTTGTCAATGTTTCATTCATTTATGCTTTTGTAAGATGGAGTCAGTGATTATATAACCTGAGGTAATTGATTTTAATGACACAATGTTGTGAAACAGTTGAACAAACCCAAGGTAAGCAATAGGAGAGCTAGATTAATACTGTCCTTTACCACCAATTTGCTTGGAAAATTTGGAAAATGATTTTGTACCTCAGAGTCATCGATACTAGTAATCAATGTCAGGAATAACTTTCTGTTCACTCCTCAGTGCTGGTGCTGGGCTCGCCATCACGGACCCCAGCACAGACCGCCTCTGGGAGGTGCTGTTCTGTCCGTTTGCCAGCCGTGGAACCACAGTCCGCAGCTCTGAGCAAGGCGTGTTGAGTAGGAAGAGGGGCCGTGAACCGAGGTCTGTTGAATCTGAAAGCCCGTGGATTGAGTGAGCAGTCGTGTGCGTGCGCGTGTGCGTGTGTGTGTGCGTGCACGTGGAGCCGTCAGGACTTTGAGTAATGTCTTCTCCCTTATCTTGGGAGTGGGGAGGGCGAGGTGGGTGGGTGTGATGTACTTTGTATGTGCTCGTGCTCTCGTCATGTCGGTATTAAATGTCCCCTCATAGTTGTTTTCCACACACTGTGCGTTCAGACTGGAGATGGGAGACCCACAAGGGAATCTCTGCACTGATGCTGGTGTCGGGGACCTGGTCACAGAAAAGTGCCTGGTAGCATCGAAGGGGCCTGCGTGCCGTGTCCAGCTTGCCTGTAGCGATCAGTACTGCGCTTTCCCTTTAGACGGGAATGCACTTTGCGTGTGGAACACGGACGACCCTTCTTACCAGGTATTGTGAAGTTCTGTGTGTTTTTCGTTAGGTCAAATGACACAGAGAGCCTTGCAGTTCTCTGCCCATTTCTCGGATGCTGTTTGGGTGATACTGCCCCCTGGGGATTCCAGTACCGACTACAGGAGAAACAAACGCTGTGCTAATGTCGCAGTTTTAGAAAATAAACTGCCTGGAATCACTTTATTAAAAAAAAGTTCTTCTTCAATTAGAGTAGAAGCCAGAAAAGATTCATGTTAACATAATCAAGAGAAGTCCAATTTTTGTAGATTTTAAATATAACACATTTAAGGAAGTTTATTACATTTATTGCAGAATCTTTTACATCAAACTGACAGTTTTAAAGACATCATTAGTTTTCATTCAGAAGTTATTTCATGACTAGTATAATTATCTGAATGCTCTTCAAAACAGGTTTCGTTGTACAAAATGAAAAAAGTAAATTCTATCAGCATTTTTAGTGTTGGGATCATTTTTATCTTTATTTTGGGCTTCAGGAGTTTAGGGCCAGTGATGACAGCACATGGAGCCAATCTGGGTTTGCCTGAAAGTTTCCTTTAATTTCGATGTTACTGGCGCTCACTTCACTAGTAGTGGGAGCTGTTCATCATCGTTAAAGAGAAATCTATAGTTAGATTTTTCCCCATTGAGTTACGAGAGGTTTTACTATGTTTCTTCAACACAACTTAACACCGATGAATGGGCTCTTGCATTCCGATGTCCAGCTTGATCTCTCTCGCTTTTTCAGTGAAGTGTGAGATACTTAGAAAAATGTGTCCCAGACATTGAGTGCCATCATTTGATTATGATGAAGTGAACACAGCTGGGTACCTGTCTTCTGGGCTCTGCTGTGTCTCAGCCTGTCTTCCCTTCCCTCCTCCCCAAAGCTGACACAGCCTCAACTCCTGGCGCCATATGCTAGTGTTGGCTAGCGTTGCTCGTGCTTGGACTTTGTCTGAGTGGGGTTGTGCCTGATGCCGGTTTCTTTGACTCACCATGATGTCTGCGGGGTTCATCCACATGGTTCATTTTCATCCCTGCACAATGTCCCATTGCATGGACAGACCACACTTAACCCTCTCTATTCTTGGTGGAGATTTGTTTTGTTTCCATATTTTGACTGCTGTAGGCATTCCTTTGTATGTTTTTTGGTACACGTGTGTGTACAACTGCTGAGTCATAGGGAATGTGTATATTCAGACTGGTAGATAATGCCGAGAAGATTTCCAAAGTGGTTGTAATGATCTGTACTTCTTCAAAGGCTGTGTAAGAGTCCCACTTGATCCGCATCCTCACCTGTACTTGGTTCTTTTAGTCTGAGGCCTTCTGGTGTGTGCAGGGGTGCTTGTTTGTGATGTGCAATTCTCTGCTGATTAGTGAGGTTTAACCCCTGTTTACAAATTTATTGGCCATTTGGACCTTCTCTTTTGTGATATGTGTTCAATCTTGTGCTATTTTTTTCTGACAGATTATCTGTCTCTATGGATGTGAAGGAGTTCTTTACGTATTCTAAATAAGAGCTTTCATTAGTTTGCATTTTCTGGAGTTTGATGCCAATGGAATCAGTCAGTGCTTACTCTTTGTGTCTGTTTGGCTTCTTTCACTCAGAACACTTATTTTCAAAGTTATTTGCATTGTTCATGCATCAATGGTGTATTCTTTTTCAATACCGAGTAGTATCCCATTGTGTGAATGTACTATAATTTGTGTATCCATTTTCCTGTTGGTGAACATTCAGGTTATTTTCACTTTTGACTACTGTAGATAAAATGCTATGAGTATTTGTGTATCTTTGTTTTATAAATGTCAGTCAGGTCACATTGCTTGATAGTGTTCTTCAAATCTTCCATTCATGGCCCCATGTTCTGTCAGTTATTGAGAGACACATATTGGAATCTGTGACTCTGCATGTGAATTTGCCTATTTCTCCTCCATCAGTTTTGCTCCATGTATTTTGAAACTCCATTATTAAGCACATAAGTGTTTGGTATCTTTATGTTCTGTTGGTGAATTGACTCTGTGAATGTTACAAGGTAACATTTCTTTATCCCTGGTAATATTTCTTGCTCTGAAATTTTGGCTACATTTTTCTTTTTAGGGGCTACTTTTTACCTTTTTTTAAAATTTTAAGACTTTATTATTCTTTTATTTTTCTTTTTTAAAGATTACTTATTTATTTATTTGGAGAGAGAGCAGAATGAGCAAGAGACAACATGAGTCAAGTGGGGAGGGGCAGAGGCAGAGGGAGAAGCAGGCTCCCCACTGAGCAGGGAGCCTGATGCAGGGCTCCATCCCAGGACCCTGAGCTGGAGGCAGACGCTTCACTGACTGAGCCACCCAGGCACCCTAAAACTTCATTAATTCTGTAAAAGCAGTTTTAGGTTCGCAGCAAAATTGAGGGGATGGTACTGAGATTTCCTGTATGCCCCCTGTGCTCCTGCGACACACAGCCTCCTCCACCCAACACCCTGCACCACAGTCGTGCATTTGTTGCAGCTGATGAGTCCGCACTGACACGTCGTCGTCGCCCAGAGTTCACAGGTCCCTCAGGGTCACTCCTGGTGTGCGTTCTGTGGGTTTAGACAAATGTAGAATGACAGCTGTCCACTATTACCACATCATTCCGAGAGTTTTCACTGCCCTAAAATCCTGTGCTCTTCCCCCTTAACCCCCCCCCAGTCCCAACCCCGGCAACAGCTGACCTTTCACTGTCCCCACAGCTCTGCCTTTTCCACGGGGTCGTGTAGGTGGGATCCCACACAGGAGGGATCACATGTGGATGGGATCACTTAGTGATATGCTTGGAAGGTTCCTCTATGTCTTTTCATGTTTGATGGCTCATTTCTTTGTAACACTGAATAATATCCCATTGTCTGGATGCAGTAAGTTTATCTATTGACCTACTGCTTCCAAGTTTTGGCAATTATGAATAAAATTGCCATAAACTTGCATGTGCAGGTTTTTGAGTGGACATACATTTTCAGCTCCTTTGGGTAAATACTGAGGAGCATGATTGCTGGATCATATGTTAAAAGAATATTTATTTTTGTAAGAAACTGCCAAACTGCACCATTTTGTATTCCCATCAGCCGTGAATGAGAGTTCCTGCTGCTCCACATCCATGTCGGCATTTGGACTTGTCAATGTTCTAGATTTTGTCACTCTAGTAGGTGTGCAGTGGTATCATTGTTGTCTTCATCTGTATTTCCTTGATGACCAGTGATGTGGAGTTTGCTCACCTGTCATCTTATATCTTCTGTAGTGAGGTGTCTGTGATGGTCTCTGGCTCCTTTTTTAACTTGGCTATTTTCTTATTGCTGCCCTTTAAGAGTTCTTTGTTTATTTTTGGAAATAGTCCTCTATCAGATGTCTTATGCAAATACCTTCTCCCAATCTGTGGTTTGTCTCCTCATTCTCTTGATGGTGTCTTTGATGGAACAGAAGTTTTTAATTTTAATGGAAATCCAGGCTATCAATTCTTACTTTCATGGATCATGCCTTTGGTGTCTTATCTGAAAAGTTATCCCCAAACTTAAGTCATATAGGTTTTCTCCCGTGTTATTTTTTAAGGGGTTTATAGTTTTCTCCATTGTATCACCTTTGTTCCTTAGTCAAAGTTCATTTGACTGTTTTGGGCTCTGTCTTCTCTCCCATTGATCTGTTTGTTCTTTCTTTTGCCATTACTGTACAATCTTGATTAGTGTAGCTTCATAATAAGTCTTGGAGGCAGGTAGTGTCAGTCTTCCAACTTTGTTGTTGTTCTTTAGTATTGTGTGGCCATTCTGGGTCTTTTGCCTCTGTATACATTTTAAAATTAGTTTGTGGATTTTGACTGGGATTGGATTAAATCTATAGACCGAGTTGGGAAGAACTGACATCTTGACAATATTGAGTCTTTCTATCCATGAACATGGGATATCTCTCCATTCATTTACTTTTATTTCTTTCAACACTTTTATTTTTCCTCATAGAGATCTTATATAATTTTTTTTTGAGAGAGAAAGTGAGCATGTGTGAGTGGGGGGTGCAGAGGGAGAGGGAGAGAGAGGATCTTAAGCAGACTCCATGCCTAGCATGGAGCCCAACACAGGGCTCAATCTCACGACCGTGATCTGAGCCAAAATTGAGTCAGGCACTTAACCGACTGAGCCACCCAGGCACCTCAGAGATCTTATACAATTTTGTTAGATTTGTACCTAAGCGTTTCATTTGTTTGAGTGCTAATGTAAATGGTATTGTGTTTTTAATTTCAAAATCCACTTATTTATTGCTGGTATATAGGAAAGAAGTGGAATTTTGCATATTAACTTTGTATCCTGCAACCTTGCTATAATTGCTTAGTTTCAGGAGTTTTTTGCCAGTTCTTTTGGATTTTCTGAAATCCAAAAGAATTTTTAGATGATCATGTCACCCATGCACAAAGACAGTTTTATTTCTATTTTCTCAGTCACTATGCCTTCTTTTCCTTTTATTGTGTTATTATGTTAGCTAAGATTCCCAGTGTCATGTTGACAAGGTGTGGTGAGAGGGGACGTTCTCGTCCTTGTCTTGTTTCTAATCTCGGTGGGAAAGCTTGTCGTTTCTCACCACTTCATACATTAGCTCTTGGTATTTTGTAGATACTCTTTATTAGGTTGAGGAAATTCCCCTCATTCCTAGTATACCGATAGTTTTTAACATGAATTGCTATTGGATTTTGTCAAATGCTTTCTTCTACTTTTTTTGGTAAATGAACTGTACTGTGAGGCAGCTACTATTTCTATTTATTTGTTTATTTGTTTATTAGAGAGAATGCAAGCACATGTGATTGGGGGGGGAGCAGAGGGGGAGGGAGAGAGAGAATCTTAAGCAGGCTCTAGGCCCAGCACGGAGCCTGACAGGACTCAATCTCATGATTCTGAGATCATGACCCGAACCAAAATCGAGTTGGATGCTTCACTGACTGAGCCACCCAGGCACCCCAACATTTTTTGATATTTTCATGTGATTTTTCTTCTTTAGCCTATTGATGTGATGGATTAACTGATTTTCAAATGTTCAACCAGCCTTGCAATACTTGGAATAAATCTCCAAATTCTACTTGGTCCTGATGTATACTTTTTTAATACATTGTATGGTTTGATTTGCTGATATTTTGAATATTTTGTTCAGTTTTGCATCTATGTTCATGAGAGATATTGGTTTTTAATTTTCTTTTCTTGTGATGTCTTTGTCTGGTTTTGATATTAGGGTAATCCTGGTCTTATTGAATGAGTAAGGAAATATTTCCTCTGCTTCTTCTGAAAATAGTGTTTCCCTCTGTTTTCTTTCTTCAGTCTTCTGAAAGAGATTTTAGAGAATTAGTAAAATCTCTTCCTTAAATATTGAGCAGTGGGTCCATTGTGGCCTGGTGCTTTCTGTTTTGGAAGGTTATTAATTATTGATTTTTTTATACCCCTATTTAACTTTTTGAACATATGGAATAGAATTATAATGATGGTTTTAATGTCCTTATCCATTAATTCTGCAATCTGGATCAGTTCTGGTTTGGTTTCAAGGCCATCTGGATGATCTGTGGGTGGGTGTTTTCCATGGTTATATATTTCTCTTGGTTTTTGACTGAATGGTCTTGACTCCTTGAATGATTGACTGCTGGACATTATGTATGAAAAAATGCACAAATAATTTGGGGCTCTGGATGATCTTAACTTCTTGCAGAGAGAATTTATGCTTGCTTCTGATAGCTGGCTGGCTGAGGGCACTGGCAATCCCAGGTCACTCTAATCCAATTGGGGATTATGAGAACTCAAAGGTGGGCTTGTGAGCACTCTTCTGTTGCCCATTCATCTTCCCTCCTTGGGCCTGGCCCTTCGGGTCACTACTCTAGGCCTGGGCATTTGGTAACATGCCCTTCCCTCCCACCTTAGTAGGTGGTATGCCTTTTTTAAAGCAGAAATTTATTAAAATTCATTTGTAGTGTTTTAAAGGAAAAAAAAATGCATGGAGTCCTCAACCTTAAGGCTCTATTCTCAGAAGTACTTTGTCAGGCAGTGGAATTCTTTGCCCTTTTCCCAATAAGATAGTTCTGTTTGTGCCTGAAAATGATGCATTTAATTACACCATTTTTGTGCTCCCAGTCCCATAAGTATCTCAGGTTTCTTCTGCCTTTGCTGGAATTGTCAGAAAGCTGCCATTCAACCGGAGTCTTCATGGGTGAATGGCCTCCCATGTTGGGTCCCTTCTCTGTTTCCTTCTTCTCTGTTCTTAATTCTTTGCTGCTTTCATTGCTCTCTGATGTCTTAAAAGTGTATCTGTATGTTCTTGGCAATTCTTTCCCTGTTTTCTTGTCGTTCTCATCAGGAGCTTGGTGCAGATGAACTGGCCGCCATGACCATAGACAGAGCTCTCGTTGTTCTCGTGTTTGAGTGATGGCTCTTACGTCAAAGTGCCTGCTGTCTGCTGACTGTCAGCCCGAAAGTGCCTCACTCAACACAGCGCAGACAAACTATGTTCTTTCCTGATTCCATTCCCCCTTTCTTATGCCACCATTCACCTAGGGTTTCAACCTGGAACACTGATTATCTTTGCTTCCGTCCCTTCCCCCATCTCTCAATGCCCACTGGTCACAGAGTCTTTGGTTCTCTGTCTCCTCCCATCTGCATCCGTGCTGCCCTCATTCAGGCCTTTACTGTACTTGCTTTGGGATGTTTGGCCCCTCTGTGTCCCCACTGTGGTCCTCTTCTGTACTTGCAGCAGCGTTATAAGTCTGAAGATGAGTTCGGTCATAGATTCTTCCGCTTGTACCTTCTCTGCTGGCTCCCTGTTTCCTAGAGCACTATCAGAACTCCATACACAGCGCCCAGCCCTCCTGTAACTTCACTGTGTTCCTTGCCTGCACCAGCAGCCTCTGACATGTGCCTTGTCTCCCAATGACCCGAATGCACCCCTCCTCTTGGGGATTCCTCGTCATTGCCTTACCCTTCAATGTCCAGCACAGCCGTTGTTCTTCTGGCATGTAGCAGGATGCAATACATATTTGCTTAATTAATAACTAATGAGTCAGTGGAAGAGTGAGGTGACCTGCATCATTTACTAGTGTGATTCTTAAGGTTGGGTGACCATGAAATTGTTCACTTGAGAGAATAACGAGTAGTACGTTAACAGGAATTTTAATAAATGAATTATAAATGAATATATGAAATAAATGTATTTGAAAAATTCAATCCATTTGATTTCTTAGGTTTGAGATTATGCTGTTATGCTTTTTTATTCTTTGAGTGTTATCTGTAGTTCATGATAGTTTTGTTTCTGTTAACTCTTCAGCCTCTGACCCTAAGAGGACACCATGAGCCAATTACTGCTGTGGCATTTGGAAATGCAGTGAGTCCACCTCTCATCTGTTCTGCATCACGAGATTATGTTATAATGTGGACCCTAGATGAATGCAGACAGAAAGCACTTCAAGGTAAATGAACAGTTAAAATATATTTAAGAAAATGTACAAAGGGAATAACTCACCCTTAAATAGACTTGGTTACATAAGGGGGCTTGGGAGAATTTTTCACTCCTTTAACTTTAAACCAGATAGATGTCCAAGCTGGATGTTCTTTGGGGGAAGGATACCTTATATTCACATCTACTGACCTTTGCTATGTGTGAAGCTGATATGATAGGCTCATTAGTTTTAATCTTATGTGTTTTGTCATTTTGAAACCTGTGATTTTTGTGGAACTCTGGAAACATGTAGGCAAGTGGAAATATTCTTTCCTTACAGACAGTGAGGGGAGGCAAACATGCATCAGACAGGCAAGCAAGTGGTTATGAGTTGTGAGGAGCACAGTAGAGAAGGCAGGCGAGGGGTCGACAGAGGATGTGGGCAGGACGCACTCCTGTGCTGTCATCTCTGGGGAGGTGACTTGTGAGCTGGAGGATGAGGAGGAGCTGGGTGGAAGGGCTGGTGCTGGACAGTGGCACTGTGCTGGGTGTGTGCATGGGCCGTCTGTATCAAGAACTCAACCTGTCAGCCAAGCTGAGAAGGAGTCCACAGGTTAGGAGCATGGTGATGTTAGATGTTTTATCAGATGAAGGTGAGAAGTGAGGTGAGGACCACATTAAGGAGTTTGAGCTTTGTGTAACTGGTTACGCTGAGAATCCGTAGGATTGCTCCAGAAAACGGGTGTGAAGGGATCTTAGGCAGCAGCATATGGAATAGTTTACACCTCATCTCATTTAACTGGTAGTTGAGTGCCCAGCGTCAGTGTGTGAGGACAGCACACACACAGAGATGGACACACGTGCACATATGCATCCCACACATGCACAGCACACACGTGCACAGAACACACGTACACATGCACAGCACACACGTACACATGCACAGCACACAGATGCACAGCACACACGTGCACAGAACACAC